CCCATCCCCACCCCCCCTGCCCCCAAGCCCCACTATCACTGCCCTGCCTGGCCCCATCCCACTCCAGCCCCTTGAGCCTCCTTCATCACTGCCTCTCCACCCCAGCATCCCCACAATTTAAACACCAAAAAAAACCTGGCAGTCACTGGCACTATCAGATGCCTTTTGGGGTCACTGGGGGGCCCCCCTGCACAGCATGGGGCCAGGTGATAGCCCCAGCACTCCCAGCCTGGGCCCTGCTGCCCCCCCGCTGCTTAGTGGGGGCTCTGCCAGGAGGTCCCAGAGCCCCCACGATGAGTAGAGGCTTTTTTTTTTTTTTTTTTTTTTTAATTGTTGGTTTTTTTTTATGTGCCAGAGGCTGGGGAGTGGGAACAAAAGGGGGAGGCTTCAGGAGCCAGCAAGGACAGCAATCCGAAGGGTTGGGGGAGCAAGCAGGGGTGGGGCACATGGGCCCTGCAGGTGGAGTGGTGGCCCCTGCAAGGAACATTGGCCCCTGTTGGGGGGTTGTAACCCCTGTGGGAGAGCAGCAAGATGTATCAATTAGGACTTCATTTTGTTATGATGAGAGACACTGGTAGGCTTCCAAATTGCTTTAACGCTGTAGATATATTAATAAAACATGCCCAACTGATCACTGTCTGTCTATATATATTGGTCTTTTGTTTTAAATTGTGGAGGAACATGGATTTCAGGGTATTTTGCAGATTGACCCTTTTTCAGTTTTCAAATAGGGAACACTAGAATTCCTGCTAGGGAGGCCAGTGGCAGGACCCTGCCTACTCAGAGCCGATACCTTGGACCCAGCTGGAGGTAGCTGACCTCCTGGCCAGTTGGTGCCAGGATGACACGTTTGACAGTTCAAAACAGGTCACCCACTGGGAACATCTTCCAGGCCACAGCGGCCCAGATGGCCAGGCAGGGGCATGCATGTCAGTAGTGCCACACAAAGGCCAACTCTGCAGCAACAGCCCACTGGCCCAGAGAGGCCAATGCCTCTACTGGCTGTGCAGTCCCCATCCGGGTCTGGCAGGTGCTCAGCAGGTCACAGCCAGGCAGCAGCCCCGTGTCAGACTGGTGCAGGGAACTCAGGGCTGCTTCAACAATCCAGCTGGCACAAGGGGTAGGGTCCCCAGGCACCAATTGGCTGGGCCCCAGAAGCTCCTTAGAGTGAGTAAACCTGAGCTACTTGGCAGGACAGCTTTTCATACCGATGGGGCCAGGACAGGGCAGCTTTTTATACTTCTGAGGACAGCACAGGTGCTGGCCCTGGGTTCTAGCTCCCCCTGGCTATAGATCCAGGAAGAGCCAGGCAGGATTATTTTGCCTCAAGTGGTAGAATTTGCCCCACACTGAAGTGCATGTCCAGGTACACGCACTGAGGCAAAAAGCCCCAACTCAAATTTGCACCACTTCTATTGGAGCTGCTGCAAGTGCACGTGCCTGCATGTGTGGACATGCCCTGTGAGTGCAAAGCTGCAGGTGTGGCATGGAGCTCCTGCAATAGAAGCAGCCAGCGCTGCGCTGGGGGCAAGGAGCTCAGCCGTGCACACTCTGCCCAGCCGCTTCTATCCCTTTCCCCTCTGCTCCCCAATGGAAAGGGTGACCATAGCTGAGATGGGGAAAAGAGGGTAAAGGAGAGAACAGCTAACCCCCACCCCCAACCTACTTTGCCTTAATGGGGCCATGCCAGCCAGCGTCGGTCCCTGCTCCAGCTAGAGATGACAGGGGCAGCCCAGATAGCTCTGCCCAGCCCAGAAAGCATGCCAGGATGCTGGGGGTGTTTGGCTCATCTTAAACCAGCAAGGTGTCTGGGATAAACATTGCATAAACTGGCTTGAACCAAATCAGTTAGCTCTCAATACATTCCACCAGGTTTCTCCCAAACCTGTTTTGGCCATTTTCAAACCAATTTATATGGACTGAATGTTTGTTCTGTTGCAGGTTTAAACCAGTTTCTGATCACGTAAACCACTTTGTGGTTAATGTCTGCCCCTAGCTGAAAGGTTGTAGTCAGTCATCAGTAGCCAACCCACAAGCATCTAACACAATCAAGTGGCAAATGTTAGCAGCAATCTCTTCTTGCTAGTGACCAGTGCATAAAATTGAGATTCTTAAAACGCAGAAAGAAAAGCAGATATGCAATTGAGAGTGGCAAACTTTAGGCATGTGGTAACATCAGTTTCATATTATAGGATGGCTATTTTAAATACGAAGCAAAAAGAAAAAGCATCTTGCAGATTTCTGCATTTTCAGTTTGGTTTGGGTAGGGAGGAAGGGAGCAGTCAGTACCTTAAAAAAAAAAAAAAAAAAAAAAAAAACTAATTCACTGTTGTTTTACTTTTTGTTTTGTTCATTTATTTCATCTTCTCATATCACTAAACATTTTTTTTTAATTAATAATATTGATTTGTCATGAGGTCTGTAGAAGTGGGACAGTGTTTTACCCACCAATAATAATTATTAAATCAAAACCTGAAGTCCTCACTCAGTTCTAGTTTAATCTGATATTTCAAAAGCCCGCAAAAGGACATAAAAAAAAAGAATTTCAGGATTTTGTACATTAACTGCACTGTGTTCCCTAAAAGTCAAAGACAGTATGAAGTACAGGTTTAAAACAGGCACCTTCAAAAGTCTGGACTTCGCAGCAGTAAGAACTCCCAGCACTGCCTTCACATCTGACCTCTTCAGTTGGTCCAACAGGTAGTTGAATTTGGATAATCTTTTCTTCCAGTAATCCAGCTCTGCTCGTGGTCCCAAGTCATCAGCCTCCTTCCTCAATTGGTCATTTTCTGCAAGAACCTTTAAAAGCACATAGAAAAATAGCGATTACTGTGAATTAGGTTTTCATCTGTAAGGATGAAAGCAATAGATACAATCTCAATGTTCAGATATTCCATGGAGCCAGGTCTGGAACTCTTGTGTCTCTTATTCCAAAGAAGTATTGATATCACCAGGCTGGAAAATCATCCTACCACATATCCAGTTCATTGACTATTTTAGCATATTATAAAATCTTAGCAACTTGAAAAGGTATTAAGTTGGAAGGTGACCAATATGAGAAAACTTATATGCCAATGGTTAGGTAACTAAAAGTAAAGAAGGCAGCAAACCCAAACTTAAGTGCCTGATCTCGCCACGCAAGACAAATAACTCTAACCATTGGACTATACAACCTATTAGGGACCCTCTGTCTCCTTGGTTTTATAAATGGAAATGGCTAACCTTTCATTTTTGCCAAAAATACTCAATATTAGGACAAGTTTCATCCTCCTGACTTAACACAGTTTTGTGAACCAAAAGAAGTTATTTTCTACTTGTCCTAACAGATTTTTTAAATATAAACTCAGCCTTTTAAGCATTTTTTTCAATTTATGTTGCACTCTTGTAGTTTCTTGTAAGTGGTTTTCTAAGAATAATAAAAAAAAAAAAAAAAAAAGATAACCCATCTTGGTTAAACATACAATAGTACTGGATTACCTTACAGATAAGAATCTTGCTTGCTTTTAGGTATGCTGCTATGACAGCTTAAAATTAATATGATTTCCTTCTTGAGGTTTGAGAAGTGTTTTTTTCAGCCATCTTTAGGTAAAAAAAAAAAAAAAAGATGATTCCATGTGGTAGAAGCTATCCAGATACCAGTTTTCATTATTGTTCACCAATAAGAGCCTTGCCTTCCCACATTTTGAAGATATAGGGTTAAATTTATAGCGGAGTACTATCCATCATTGCTGGTTTGGGATTTGCTATTATTTTGTTATTTAATATCAAGATAAAACTGGTATTAATTATTGTATGTCCCAAATTAAATACATTTGCTTACTACTGTTTCTCAGAGTCTGTGAGCACATAGGCTCATTATATACCTTTGCTTCCAATGAATTTCCATACCTTGCCCCCAGCTGATATGTTTTCAGGGTAAGTTACAGAAAAGTGCATACTACTGCAAGAAGTGTGTTAAAAAGGCACCACACATACAGAGTTGGAAGTGTGATTTAGCTTAATAGAGAATTAAGCTGACTTCTTATTTTTAAAAATAGTTTATAAAAGCAAAATAATCAGCTGAGAATTCTTAATTCTATTAGGTTAACTAAGCAGAAAACTCCTACCATAGCTAAAACATAAGTCATATAGCTCTTTGGGAAATGAAAGATTCTGAGCTTTACATGTGTAACTCTCCCTTTAACAATAGAAAAACAATTTTACATACTAAAGGTAGACAAACAAAGTTCTATATACTATACCAACTAGAAAATAAAATTGTTTCTTAACTATATCCACAGAGTAATAGTGCTTTCCACCAGTCATGTGCTTTGTGTTCCATGTCAATGAGATTTATTAGCATTTCAACATGCACCTAAGAGGAGCTGGTCATGTTTCAGATTTATGAGGTACATCACCTGCTCAATTTGTTTGATCCATACTTTCATGCAGTCTTCTACTCTTTCTAGACTTTCTGTACTGTTAGCAACAGCAATGTAATCTGAAGGTCCCTTCAAAGTTTTCCAGTCATATGTTTCACATGCCGTTAGATTCACCTATTAGCGGGTGGGGGGGGGGGGAAAAGGAAAGTTAATTCCAAGACAAGTTATTCCTAGAACAGTACTTTCTTTCAAAACAGGCTTGCTTTCCTCTCTGGAAGAAAAGCTTGCAGTATTGTTACGTCTCAGCTGTGTGTTCTTGGGCAACCCTGGCACAGGATGCAGTCTGTCTGACTCACAAAGGACTCCCCCCCCCCCTCCCCCTCCCCTCCTCTACCTAAACAAAACTGATTAAGATGCAGTAAGAGACGCACCTAAAACCCTCCAGATAAGGGTGACAAGAGTGAACCAGCTGCCCTAGGTCTCATTTGCATCCGAGATGGAACCAGATGACCATTAATTTACATGAGAGATGGAGAACAGAAATCCTGAAGCACAGACTGCAGTGAATTCTGGGACCAGAGAAGCAGGGGAGCACTGCATGATGGGGAATCTGTGCTTCAAATGTTAATCAACCCATGTTCTCACACACACCCAGCTCAGCATTTATCAGACCAGTTCTAATCTGGATTTACTAAGGACTTTTCCCCCCCTTCCAGACGCACACACCTCTAAGTTTAATAGGCATCTTGGGCCGTACATTCCCCGGTCCCACTATGGGAGGCCTATTTAAACTTGATTGACTAAAACTCGGTTGCCGGGTTAGGGAATGCTGAGGCAAGAGACCGAGTCAGAGGGGGTATGGGCAACATTTGAACAATGGTTAAGGGTTCATCACAGCATCCAGCCTGCTGGAGCCCTAATCCCAGGTGTTGTCATATCTTTCCCGAGACGACTGGTGGGAGTCCTCTCCACAAAAGGTTATGAGCACCCCAATAATTGCTTTAAGTCTGTTAAAAGACTATAGTAAGATCTGGAAAAGTCATGCTAAGCTGAGGCTTGTGCACAACAAGTAAAAATCCAAAATCCTGATGCTGCAAGCTATCTATTGTTCCTGAAGAAACCATGAGATATCCCATCAGTATATCTGCCACCCATAGGAATCTCAAGCTGGCTCCCAAGTATTTGGGTTACTCCTCTCTTTTCTCTCTAGGCATAAACTTCTGAACCTGAACTGTATCAGTTAAGCTTGAGCTAAGTTTTCCCAAATACTTAGTGAAACCAGGGTAGTATTGTAATTGCTTGTGTTTTTCCTTTGCATGTCTATTACTACTAGTACCATTATACATTTCATATGCTTAGCAATAAATAACTTTTATAGTCAACCTGGTAGTAATTGGGTATATTTTTCCTTCTCTGCTTCTCTTTCCTCCCGTGCTCTGCAGCAATGCTTCTTTTACCTAAGCTAAAGATCCCTGTGAAGCCCAAAAATATTGTGGGGTCTGCTCATCAAGAGGCCAAAGATTGGGACGTGCCGAGTTTGAAACACATAAGGGGATCAGCTTGTATAGGCTGATTGACCCAGTTTGACTCAGACATGCCCTTATGAACTGAATGCTGGCCCATGAGGGTGTCAGCTGGACACCCAGCCAGATTCAGAGGGATTCTGTTCACCTGTGTGCTTGTGTCTGACTGCAGTTTATTGTTGCTCTGAGGAACTGATTCTTGGCATATGAGGGTGTCAGCCTGTCCATGCTGATCAGCCCGGCCAGGTCAGGCGTGTCACGTTAATTTGTGTGTGTTGGTGTGTATGACTGATTTGGGGACTGGAGGAACCCAGCCCCATTGAGATTGAGTCCTACAAGATAGCTCCATTGGGGGTGAGGGCTTGCAGAAGGGAGAGATACAGCTCCGTATAGTAACACAAGCAGCACATTGACAGAATCACAAAGACCCTAGAAACTATCCCTAATAAATGAGCACGCCCCAAAGTAATGGGCAAGTCTGGTAGCAGTATATACTTGCACAAGATAAACAGGAGCATTTTCTGGGCTCAATCCAGAAAACAAAGGCACTTTGAAATTTAAAGACACTAGCATCAGCACCATGGCCTGAAAGTTTAAGACTTCTAGATACTCTTAAATTTTTGTTCTATAAAGCTCTGACTTATTAATGCAGGAAGGTCTGAAAAAGTCACAGCTCTTCACAACTCAAAGGGTGAAGGGTGGTAGGAAGAAAGTGTAAATGACCATCCAAGCTCCAGAATTCCTCACCCCTTATCCTCATAAGGGAAAGAAGAATAAATTATCAGTAAGTCTAGTACTCAATAGTGCCATTCTGCCTGAAGTTTAAGGAAAAAAACCTTTAAAATGAAATGCTGAGGTAACCAGCAATTCAGAGCTCTTCGTCTTTCCTGCAGCCACTGACATGTGAATCTTACCTTCTCCATGAGACTCTGCTGAGCACCTGATAAAGCACTCACAAATCCCTCCAGAGAGCCAACAAAGTCCTGCCCAATATTAGCTGCTTGCTGAAAACCACCAAGCTCATCCCCACCATGATTCATGGTTTTGAGGGCTGGAATGAAGATGTTGGATAGTAAATGCTGCACACTTTTCAGTAAGCCACCTTGAGCAGTATCTATCGTACTGAAGTTCACTTCCTGCAAGAGAGGATAAGGCACACATCAAAAGGGTTAACAAAACTAACCATAAAATAGATATGAGCAGCATCAAGGTATTCAAAGAATTACAGCTTAAGATAGTCTTAAGATGACTTTAACATATTGTCTCTCTTAAGGGTTATAGGAGATGTCTGTAAGGGGATTAATTTAATTGTCTATCATTGAGCGAGTCTATTATAGTTTGTTTGTTTTTTAATACGGAGTTCACCAAAGGCTGATGGTTCCCGTGACAATTCTCTATGTATATTTGTCAATACTCTCTAAAAACAGAAATGTAGAGAGATTTCACCCTTGAATAACCTGAACTGATTTGCTGACCTTGTAGAATTCAACACTGAAATGAGCATGTTTTTGTTTCCCTCCTCCCCCCACTACCAACTGCTGATCTTTTCAGTAACCCTTTCTATTCTTTCATTGACAAAAACCATTTTGACTCCTGCTATGAAGAAATTCAAGACATCTACAATTCCTCATTCTCTAACCATTCAATATAAAGTCAGAACATCTAAGCTCAAATACTATGTCAGTTGTGGGGGCAAATATATTGTGGTCCTGGATATAATATACAACTTCCAAACCAAATTTATAATTTCTATCATTTTTAGTTTAAGGCTTTAACTAAATAATTGCCCATCATAACACTACCTTGCAGGATCAGATAGATTAAGGCAAACATTTCACAGGCAACTAATTAAGTGATCAGTATTCCTGAAGAATGAATTAGAAACTGGAAAGAGAAGTAACAACGCTGATTTTCCTGGCATAGTATTAAAAACATTCTGACTAATTGTGGTCTGAGTTCTTTGCAACCGAAGAATTGCTCTATTTTTCTTTAATCAAAAGAAAAAATGAAAAATTAAGAGCTGGCATTTTCCATGGGGTACCTAAAGTCTAATGAGGGGGCCCACAAGTCTAACAAGGTTGAAAACCACTAGTTTATAGCATCTTAACATGTTCAGCAGAAGCAGAAATGACCCAAGCAGGGTGCGAGGCCCGGGGCAAAATCAGCCTGTGCAGGGCCCCGCCCCCAGACACGAGAAAGCCAGCAGTGGATTCAGTGGTGAGGGGAGGGTGCCAAGTGGCTGGATGTGAAACCAGCAGCAGTGTGGAGTCACTGTGGCCACTCCACATGGGGTCCCCCAAAGCACAGGGGCTGGGGCAGTCATCCCAATTCACCCCCCCAGGGATAGCCCTGAGTATAAGTAACATAATATCTGGCTCAGAATGTCCTGCACCACTTCACAAGTAAGGAGTGGAAATTCTTAGGCACCAAAAAACCCAAAATTTTCAAGCTAATTGACTCTATAGAATTTAAATTCTCTAGTCATAGGGAATTTAGGTACTTTTGAAAATGTTATTCCATCCACCATTTTTTGGCCCAAAGGCAACATAATATTCTTCAAAACCCATTCCAAATTAAATCTTCTTACAGTCAGCTAGTCTAGAGATAAACAACTGCTGTTCCACATCCTTATATACCACCTCTCTCTGGGAAAAATTAAGACAGTGAGTAAGTATGACTCCCATGTTAATAATTTTATTAGAGAGGAATGGGCACAAGTCTCCAAATAAGGAAAGGTGGCAAGTCCCCAGCTTCTGTATCTGAACCCTAACAAACATGAACCCAAACCCAAACATGAGCCTGGAACTGTAACAGGACCCCAAACCCAAACATGAACCTGAACATATCTGAACCTTAACAGACCCAGACCTGGACCTATATGTGTACATGAACCTGTATCTGAAAGCCTGAATGTATCGAAACCGGAACTGGAGCTGGAACCTGAACGTATCTAAACCCGAATCCAAACCTGCACCTGAAAATCTGAACCTGCACTGGCACCTCAATCTGAACCGGCACCTGTATATGAACCTGCACTGGTACCAGAACTAGAACCTGTAGCTGGATACCTGAACCGATTCTGTAGGTCTTTCATTTTAAAAGACTATATGTCCCAGGGGAGCGGGGGCACTGGGAGACCCCCGCGGCGGTCAAGGGGTCTGCTTACCTCCAGCAGGGCCGGAGGAGCCGAAGAAACCCCAGGC